TGATTATTAATCGATTGTTCATAGTTATAACTATAATATCGTTTAAACGATTAAATTTTTAAACATGATTTGAAATAATCGTTAATCATATTCGATTATTTACGTTTTTATCGATTAATAATCATATTGACAAGAAAATAGGTTTTTTTTCTAAGTTATCGATATATATATATATTCGATAAAAAAATATTTGAAATAATTTTTATTTAATAATATATTGACAAATCTCGAAATAAAATATTTAATTAAATTTAATTCTATATCGAACAATCGAAAATTGAATTTGTTTCAGATCTTATTTCAAAGACTTTTAAATAAAATAAACAAAAAAAATCTCTTAAGAAATCTTCATTTGATAAGAAGTGAAAAAGAAAATTTTTAATTGAAAAAAACTAAAATAAAAAATGATATATATAAAATCTTCTAATAGAATGTTACCTTTAAGTATATAATCTAATTTGGCTAATTTGACATAATCATAAATAAAAGAAAAAAACTAGAAATAAGTAAATGAAATGAAGCAATCAGATCATTGATAGTTAATGGATAAATTGTTTTAGCTAATGCATATATTGTCCATAGATGTGAATATAAATCTTGATGTGAATATTTATTTTATTTATTTTTTGTATTTGATTTAGGATTTATTTGATTTGATGTTCTTTTATATTGATGTCCACCAAATATTTCAATAAATATTTTTGTATATTTTTCAAATATAATTGATGATATATTAAAAACATGTTCAACACTTGATCGATTTCTTTATGTAATTTATCAAAAAAAAAACAAATAATTCTAAATGATTAGCACTTTTTAATAAACGTGATATTGATATTGGATTATTCTGATTTGTTATTAGATGTTTATATCTTCTACATGATACATATAATGAAATAGCTAACCAATGTAACTGATCACCTACTAAAACATAATGTTTACGAATATGTTCATATGAATGTCATGCATCTAACTTTGTTTCCATATCCATATTTAAATCAAGACATGCTTTTGAATATAACATTTCAATTGATTCATCATCTTTATTTGACATTTTAGCTTTTTTTTATTCTAAAATAATCAAAAAAAACAAAATGATTGACATTGGGTGTGGGTATGGGGTGTGGAGGTGAGATGGCACTGAAGAGAGCCACCTCAATGCCCACTCAGGATGTGAGTGTGGGTGTGAATCTGTATCTAGGCCTGTGTGTTGATATTTCTTTCACTCACACCCAAGATAGAGACGAAACGTTTTTGTTTTGCTGATTCATAAAGTGTGCAACAAATATCCATGTTTCCATTCATTTACGCAAATTGAAAAAGAATCAGAAGGTCATCACTATCATCCTCATTATCATTAAAATGGACAAGAAAAATTTTAAACCATATGCTAGTGGCACATCATCGTCTACGACAAATAAGCCAAATAAGTCATTCACAGCTGCGGCACCAACGATAGTTGTGAGTAGAAGAGTTGGGTGTGGGTATGAGTGTCTTTTTTTTGTTGAACACCCACATATACACCCTATTAGAGCTGTAACAGTATCAAGAAGCGATGAATACTTATGTGTCTTTTCCTATCTACATAAAACTGTGCATGGGTATAAATAGAAAGTTTTTTTTTTTTTGTTTAATTTAGAAGAAGTCGATGACCAAATAAAGGTTATACCTTCAATAATAAGTTGTTTCGTTGCAATAGGATTGTTATCAGTGACTATTATGATCACATCAACGATGAATTTCTTTCTTTATGACCATCTATCGTTGTTTGGCATCAAATAAAATCACTTAGTATTACACAACCATTCAATTCAACTCATCTTTGTCTTTTTACAAACGACTAATCTACGTACTCTGGAACTGCATTATAGATCAGAATATGATACTAAACGTTATTTGAAAGAGGAAAATTTAATCTATCTATTCGATAATATTTCTTTGTGCAGAATGTTCATGTCAAATGGCTTACGATAACTCAATCTTTTTCCTATTTCGTGACAACCAAATTTGGTAAACATTGCCTATTAAATTGTCGAGCGACTTCCTCATTTGCAAGTCATTGAAGTATCACATTTACTTATCAACAATCGTCCAAAATTAAAATTTCTTACTATAAATGGCGAAGATGAATATGATCAACTTTATGAGAAACAATTGCATGATCTGCAAAGTTCAAATACTCATTCTTTTCGAACAGAAATTCGTAACACAATAGATGAGGATACACTTTTCTTATGATTATAATAAAATGAAACTGCCAATATTTCTTTATTTCTTTGTAGTTACACTTGTTTTTGTGCAAGAATTATAAGAAGTTTTCAACATGAATAAAGCAAAACTTTTTAAATTTTGTTTCGTAAGTTAAATCAGATGAAAAGATCTTCTGTGTTTGATATTAAATCATACTAAGATTCTTTGCTAGTTGTACACTAGAATGTATACAAAAATTACTCCTACATGAAAACAATAACATTAATATTTGACCAAAAGATATTTTTTATTATTAATAATCAATTTATTTCCAGTTACATTTTGACACCAAACGCTATTTTAACTCCTCTTCCCTTTATCATCTTGTTCTATTTCCTTTCTCACATATAACTGATCGAAAATAAACAACTTGAAATATATTCTATTTTTGAATATCTTACAATAAATAATTATATTATTTCAAATTTATCCTTATATTAATATTTTAAAAGTTAAAACTTATTACAACATTTCATTGTTCAATAACAGTAACATATTTAAACTAGACCTCCACTCAAACTAAGCACGAGTAGAAAAGACGTCTGACTGCAGAATTTTCATAATCCTCATATATGTTTATAGTTATTTTTTAAAATCCAATTTATCTCTTATTAATAAATGAAGTTGGACATTGATTGATAACGAATATCAATTGCATATCCCTTTATTAGAACATTATTGTTCTTTTCATTTTGTATATATAATAAATCTTCGAGACTCTTTCATAGATAAAGTTAATTTATACAAAACGATAATTAACGTGTATATGCATATAAGATACGAGATATCAATGGTCACTAAAACACTAAGTCATTTATAACTATATAAAGAAATTACCAACTGTTAATTACCATTTATTTTTGTTCTTGCATCTTCCACACGGAGTCAAAGAAAAATGAATTTCAGATGTGCTCTACGCACATTCTCACGTGTTTGACAAGCTTTTTTGTGGGATGTGGGTGAATCTCCTGTTTTCGATCTCATCCAAACTCACCCACACCAAAATCAGTTTTTTCAGTGTAGAAACTCTCAGTTACAGCTGATAGTTTGATGTAAGAAACCTTACAAGCATTTGTCTCATTACCATTTTGATGTAGATAAACATATATGATGAGTTAATCTAAGAAGACAATGAATTTATAAACTGTTCATTGATTGAAATATATAATTTTGTAGAATGCATTAATCTAGTCCAATGTTATTTTCCTATCGTACTAATCTCCAAATGACTAATTTCATCTTACATTTCATTGAGAAGAATTTTTTTCATAACAGCTTTATGTGTTTTTATCTGAATAGATTTAATACAAAATTTATCGTTTCAATGGAATAATATTCATCATATTAGATGATTATGATTTTAATTTTGTAACATTCTTTATATTCCTAAAGGTATTTATATTGACAATCTTATGTTTGAAAAGTTTCCTGTTTTGAAATTTTATTCTCTCATATCCTACTTGCTTGGATATATTTTTCGACGATTTTTGCAACTTTAATTAAAATTATCTTAGTGTTCTTTTTAAAATTCAATAGAAGATGCTAGATAAATGAATATTATTCCATTGAAATGATACGTCTCCTATAAAACATTTGCAGAGGTGAAAGACATACTGATGTTATGAGAAAGAATTTTTCTCAAAAATATAAGATGAAATTATTCACTCAAAATTGATAATATGAATGCAATAGAGAAAAAGATATCTTTTGTAGAACTTTTAAAGATCTATGAAAAAAGAAATAGAAGAGGCAGATCAAACAAATTGATTCAGTCATCTATAGATAATCAGATCAAAGTGAAAATTTTGTAAATCTCCTAACTTTCTTCTCAAACTGATGATTTACTTCGAAAATATTGATATCAAATGCTATCAAAATTTGATGCTTTTCTTTAACCAAAAAGTAATTGACTAAAGGCAATAGTTCCTTGAAAAGAGCAACAACAATTATATTCGATATGAAAAGAAAAAGGCATGCATAGTCTGTGGAACCATGAGCCTTCTTTAAAAGACAACAGTTGACGAAATTAACTTTTGCATTCACTGGACTTATCTCAATGTATGAGGAAACAGTAGTTAAGAAAAAACACATTTTTTTTATGAGCGCATAAGTAAATTTATAAAGATCATGATTTTTCAGAAGAATTTGAACACTTTGTTCAAGATTTTTATTGATAAATTTACTAGCAATCAAAAAATTTGCGTATAAATACTACATTGTATGGAAATAACTATTAAGGCTAATGATTCAAATGTTTCTTTGACTAGCGAATACTTGAATAGGAGTTAACAGGCATGTTTTTTTTTTTGTTTTTGTTTTCAATGCACAGTTTTTAAAACAATCAATGACATAACTATTAACTACTTCTACCAGCGTTCTGCAAGATTTCAGCATCATCATTTTAAAGATCGTGACCTTGCAAAGTTTTCTTTTTCTTTTGAATAACTTTTGAAAAATTTATATTCCAACTGAATTTCGTCGATGGCGAATGCCTGAGAAAGAATGTCTTTGCAAGAGTTCAACAAATGACATATTGAAGAAAATCAGGTAATCTTATATTACAATAAAATCGAATGATCGAGTTTATGATCCAAATGATTCTTAAAAGTAGATGTCAATGACAATTATTAGCTAGAAAAATGTGAATGAGATTGATTGATCTATTTAGAAGAGACAGACAATAAACTGTAACTGTGGGAAAATATTTTCTTAATCTAGAAGATTTGCAACGACTTGCTTGTTGAAACAAAACGCAAACTAAATTGATAATTATCCCAAAATCAAAAAAAAAAAGAAACACTTCTTCAGAAGAAAAGGTGAAGAATACAACGAATTCCTAGACAATAAAATGTATGGCTTTGTAGATGAACCGGAAACTCACACCTTATTGTATATATTTCTGTTTAAATTAAATTTTACGAGAAAAAATTTCTTTATTTTATTTCGTCACATGTTTGCAAAGTTTACTGTGT